ATATAACAAGTCTGTCTCAAAATAGCTAAGAAAGTTGAAAAATATATAATATTCATAATTGAATAATTCTATGAATGTTTGGATCAACCGCCAACCCTTAAATGGAGACAGACATATAGGCCTGTGTTTGTAACTGATTACAACACATATCTGCTGTCCTTTAGGTGTAGTACTTGATTCGAAACTGATTACAACACATTATGTCTGTTGTCCTTCAGGTGCATTACGTGATTCGTAACTGTTTTACAACACATTATGTCTGTTGTCCTTCAGGTGTACTACGTGGTTCGTAACCGATTACAACACATTATGTCTGTTGTCCTTCAGGTGCATTACGTGATTCGTAACTGATTACAACACATTGTCTGTTGTCCTTCAGGTGCATTACGTGATTCGTAACTGATTACAACACATTATGTCTGTTGTCCTTCAGGTGTATTACGTGATTCGTAACTTATTATAACACATTTTATCTGCTGTCCTTTAGGTGTACTACGTAATTCGCAACAAGCAGACTGGTCTTGTCATGGACATCAAGGGATGCTGTGGCGACGATGGCGCCACCATCTGTATGTGGGAGTATTCTGGCGGCGACAACCAGCTCTGGTCGTACGAGGACGGTGTGCTCAGGAGCAAACTCAACGGTAGGGGGCGCTCAGAAAACTAGATAATTCTTATGTAAAAATAGTTTCATTGGATCTCAGTTTGATAGTCAAGACAGTTTTCATTTATGATAGATCCAAATATCTTTCTTGACTACATAATTCTTGTCGATTGCTTTTTTCCAGTAAAAATTGAAATGGTTCCAAGGCTCTTACGAGAAATTGTCAAATTACTTAAAACACGCGACTTGGTTGGCAAATATTTTGTTAAGTAAAGACTAAATTTATTTTAGAGAAAAAAAATGTCCAAGGGCAATTTGCCTACATTTTCCGTTTAAACTAAACTGGAATCTTTTCCATAATTTGTTGATGTTAACTCTTCAAAACATTACTTCCCATTTTAAATAGTTAAAACTATTATCGAAGAGATTTCACATAAAGTACCAATTTTTTCTATTTCTCTACTTAAGGCAAGGTTCTGGACCTGAAGGACTGCAACGCCAGCCCCGGTAATGACGTCTGTATGTGGAGCCACAATGGCGGCCCAAACCAACGCTGGGTGCTCTGTGAGGACAACACCATTTGTAGTGAGATGGGGGGAGACCTTGCTCTCGACGTCATGAACAACTCCACAGACGCTGGCGCTGACGTTAAGATCTGGAACAGACATGGGCAGGGCAACCAGCAGTTTGTCTTGGAGGTCGCCCCGGGCAAGTAGAGCCACAGACGACTGGAAAGTTGTTAGGTAGCTGGAGGAATACGGCCAGATGATCAAAAGGACGATCAATAACTTTACGTAGGCAGCTTGCGTTCGCAGAAGGAACTGTAGTTAAAGAAAGTAATTTACGGCAATATCAGCTAATTGTTACTACTAAAGAGTACTCGGCTGAATGCTTTAATAAAAACATTGTTGTTGTACTCATTTCTTTACTTTTTACTCAACTGTAAGAAATACTAAATCAGGAGAAGACAAGCCGGCAAACATCAGCGTGTCTGTGATCAATCCCAACCCGCCAACTTTGGTATTTATAGTCCGGAACAAACAAAATGAAATTAACTCAGCGGTAGAGATAGCGTTCCATTCTCACCCAAACGTCCGCCGTGTAAATCACGAGTTAAGTCCTGATATCAAGGGAAGGTGGGTGTCAGGATAAACAGTTCATTGTGTCTCTCCTCCTATCAGCCTGATACTCCATTACAGTATTGATACAGCGATTACGGTGCCCTTGCGTTAGCTGTAAATCAAGGACGCTGTGATTAAGGTCTGAGTCACCTGGTTTGGAATGATATAGGGATGATGTGAACGCGGGAAATGACACCCACCTTCTGCCCTCTACCAGAGCCATAGATTGACTTTTCACAGGATATTCACAGATATGTCTTTAGATAAACAGACAGTTATTTTACTATGCCCGTTTCACTTTTTTCCTATAATACCTATGATACCACCTGCCTGGTTAGTAACGTACTACCGGAGACCCTCATGATTAGCCCCACCCTTTACTAGGTGGCGGGTAGAAATTGCCAGTAAAGTTCACTGACACGAAGCATTAATTCCATATAGATGTCTGGGACGGGCTGGGGGAGATGGGATGGGGGTGGGATGGGGGAGAGCACAGACTTTTGTTTCTTCCCATTTGTTTCACGAAAGTCTTCGGTCTATTTGAAAAAAGACATCTTCCACCAAAAGGCAGGTCTGGTTCACACTATTTTCCCAAAATGACACAAGGGCCACGAAACCTCTGTTCACGTGGTGCCTTATGGGGGGGGGGGGGGGGGGTTTTTTTTTCGGGATGGCAAACCCTTCAACTGCCCCCCCCCCCCCGGCTTT